GAGAGACTCCTACGAGCATGCTGCTTTTGAACTTGAAATGCAGCCCTTGCCTGGCTCTCCACCCCACTAGCCTTTTGCAGATTTTGGACTGGCTGAACCTTCCCAATCAATGAGCCAGTTCCTTGAACCTCAGTCTGTCCATCTCTCTGTCTCTAACTACACACACTGTTGGCTCTGTGTCTCTGATGAGCCCTGACTAATATAATACAGGCTGTGTCACAGGTGTGCGGGGACACAGTGAGGCTCTGAAGTAGGAATAAGCACAGGCCAAGCTGGCCCCACCCCCAGGCACCTGGAGCAGGCCACCGAGACGGGGTGTGGTGGCGCACACCTGTAATCCCAGTGCTGCAGAGGCTGAAAACAGGCGGATCACTATGAGTCTGAGCTGCACAGTGAGACCCTGTACCAAATGCATTTTTAAAAAATGAAGTAGAAATAAGAAGCTCTCCTAGATTATCCTGTCTGGTAGTTTTTAATTTTTATTTATTTATTTACTTTTTCATTTATTTAGAAACAATACAGAATTTCGCTAAACAACATGATAGGAATTCAGCAATGGTTGTTACATTGCATACAGTCGTCTTCATATTAGCTGTCCTCTCTCTTCCTGCCAATGGGCCCTCGCATGTCCTCTGACCGATGGCTAGGACTCAGAGATAACGTGCCCTGGCCCAGCCACGTCTCCACTCACATACTCCTCACAGTAACCTAATGAGGGAAGCACTGCTGTTTGTCCCACTTCGAAGGAAAGCAAACAGGCTCAGAAATTTGGGAACCTGGTCAAGCAAAGTCCTCACTAGGAAGGGTCACAGCTAGCATCTGAATCCAGGACATCTGAGCCAAGTGCAAAACTACCACACCCTCCTGCCTCGAAACATATTTAACTCCTAAAACAATAGCTGCTTTGGCTGAAGTGGGAACTCCAGGGGTTCCCCAAGCTCACCTCTTTCCTACCCTCATGGAACCTAGAGCACCGCCGGGGCCCCACAGCTCCTTTGCAGCACCATCTAGAACCCACATGCTGTCCCAACCCCCTCACTTGGAGAAAGAACAAAGGTAGGCCCAGAGAAGTTAAGTGCCAGGTTTGAGGTCACACAGCTAGGCAGTGGCAAGGCAGAGCTATAAATTGAGGGCATCCAACCCTACCAAGATGGTTCTGATGGCTTCAAGATCTTCAGCTATGGGGGGAAGCTGGGGTTCCCAGTGGGATAATGTGGAAAAGAGTTCCCAGAAACAAGGGAGGGCTCTGGCTAGCTTCCCCCAGTAGAAGGCTTCCTGTCTTCCTCCGTGTGTCTGGCTCTGAGAAACTGACCAGAAAGCACTGAGGGGAAGTGGCCCAGGCCTAGGCCCCAGCACAGCCCCACTGGAAGCCCTTGGACTCTGGAGCTGGTGTTCTGGTCTCCACTGTGGGTTTCAGAGCTGGCCAAGGCTCTGAGTCCACACAGCCTCCCCAAGGTTCCCAGGATTCTTAGGACTCCTCTAGAGCACTGCTTTGAGTCCAAAGAGGGAAAGCTCCTACACATCCCTCAAAACCCAGCCTGCATGTGCCTTCCATGATGAAGCCTGACAAAAACATCTCTGCTGAAATAGAGTCAGCTTTTCCCCTCTGCATTAGCTTTACCCTTGCCGATGTGCCTATGTGCGCCTATCTGTGCCCATGATTGCCATGTGTCTGCCTTCCCAGTGAAGTGCGGGCTCTTGACCCCAGTACCCAGTACAGTATCCAGCCCAGAGGATAACCCAGCCCATGAGCATCAGAGGGAGGTAAGGTGTCTGGAGGAGCGAAGAACCCTGTGCTGGGAAAGCCACCCAGCCTTTGCAGATGTTAGAAAAGAAATTTCCCAGGTCCTCCCTCTCTCTGAGCCTCACAGGGAGTCCCTGGTCCAAAGCTGGCATTCTTATGTCAGATGAGGAAACTGATGCCCAAAATGTGAAGAGACTTCACCAAGGTCACACAGGACACCCAGCGCTGCTCTCCCCCCATGGTCTCATGCATCTCTGTCCTCAGCACAGAATCCTCACACAGGTCTCCAGCATTGGCTCTCGTCTTACACACGGAACTGCGCTGTTCCTACCCTTAGACTCCAGGAGATGCAGGATGAGGGTTGCTCTTAGCCCCATGACCTCTGAGAAGCAGGCTCAGGAGGGTAAGGGCTCACTGGATCTGGGGTACCTCTCTGCACGCAGCCGCGTCCTGCCTATAAGTCCCTGCACTCTACTTCCTTGCCTGCCTTGTTTGTCTTTGCGTGCACAGAACCAAGGGTAGACGCTCCCACCCCAACCATAGCTCACAAAACAGAGACACAGGAGAAGGGGCTAGCAGAAAGATAGCCTGGCCACCGGCCACAACCAGGGGAAGCCAACCACAGGGTCTCCCCGTGTCCTGGGCTTCCCTCTGGAAAAGAGCACAAAACATTACCAGCCCCAGGGAGAGTGACTCTTGGGCCTTGAGTTTCACCCATCACCTGCCAGCCAGCAGATACTCACCATGTGAGAGCCAGGGCTTGAAGAGGGACAGAACCAGGGAGCACAGAAGCCCTGGGACTAGGGCTCATAGACCACCCTTAGCCACGCAGCCAGGGGACAACTTGTATGTATAACCATAGCTGCTGGCCCTCCATGGATGGATGGATGGAGGAATGGATGGATGGATGGATAGATGGATGGATGGATGTAATACATGAATATGATAGACATTGGGATGGAATGGATAGATAATATGGATAAGGCCTATCCAACTCATGCCACCACAATCTCTTGGTTCTAAAGCATACAGAAGTGATTCATTCTCGTGTCTCCCACCAGTGAGCCAAGGGGCCCTGCGCTCTGCTCCAGGCCCAGGGTCCTCAGTCCTGCTGAGGGAGCACACAGCCTGTAGAGCCCAATCTTCCCTTCTCCCTTTCTAGGCCCTGCCCCTACGTCTTCCGTGGCCCAGTTCTGACACCTAGTGGTGTTTCTGGAGTGTAGCCCTCACTTTCTTTCCTCTTTCTACCAACTCCCACCCCTTCACCAGTATGAACTACAGCTGCCAAACCAGCCTGGCCAATCGCACAGCTCCACACTGGTTCCCTCCAGCAGGGTCAGATTGGGATCCAGGTGAAACCAGAACCATCTGTAACTCACCCTGAGAGCCCTGCATGCACTTGAAATTCACATGTCCTGTTCAACCTGAGCCCTCAAGCCAGGTAAGCCTGAGGAGTGGATGCCACACACATGACAGCCAAGGGAAACCATAGCCAAAACTGTGCCCAAAACCACAGAGTCCCCAGGACTTCCTTCTCCTCCTACCCCTAGCTACTTCACATCTCAGCAGCACTGAGGGTCACTGAAGAGGAGACACCAGAGACAGAAAGGAACTGGAAGGAGAGGGGACAGCTGAAAACTAACTCATGCAGCCCTGAGGCACAGGCCAGGGGGAAGGGCTGTTATACAAATGAAATCAAAAGCCCACCCTCAGCAAATCCCTGGCCTCAGCCTAACCCACCAGCAAGTTCCAGCCAGAGGTCTTGTTAAAAGGGTGACACCATGTGGCTGATTTTGCCACTGCAAGAATTCCTGTTGCCAGCTAAATGCTGGGTGTCCCTGTCTTGCCCTGGGTTCAGGACAACAGATAACAGATAACACTCCGCCCATTTCCTGGGATTCACTCCACACAGTCACAGCATTCGCTCCATTACACACTTCCAGCCTAACACTCCTGCCTCCAACATGCAGCTGAGACGCTCTGACTACCTCTCCCCAAACCCGGGGACACAGCTTAAAAACCCCATTCCAACCAGCCAGAAGTGGGCATTGACAGAGATGTGACCCATATCAGCCTCAGGCTCCTCATCCGTGACACAGGGACACAGAGCAGTGCCTTCAGGTGTTGGAGCTGGACGGAACTGCGCACACAAGTCTTAGTCCCCCATGGTGCTTCAGAAACAGTTTGAAGGCTGGATGAGGGAAGGGAGTAGGGGACAGAGGCTGAGTGAGGGAACCACGAGAGTGAAGGCTCCAGGGCCAGAATGAGCATAGGTGTCCGCTGAGCACAGGTGACGTGCTCGGCCCTCACAGGACCTGCATGGGCCACAGCTGGTTTGAGTACAGGGCACAGGGCAGGAGCACAGGGCAGGGAGCCGGGCAAGGGCTGAGCCTGCCAGGCCTCGCAGCCCTGGGAAAGCTGTGCTGCACGGAGACCTTGAGGTGTTAGCTGAGGAAGTAATGTGACCAGATTTACACTTCCAGGTCCCACGTGCAGCTACTGTGGAGGGCACTGGAGAGGTCAGCAAACCAGACAGGTGGGGGCTACTGTCAGCCATCTAGACCAGAGATGAGGACTGCGCAATTGGGGGACAGGTGCTGAGATGCAAAGGGACTCTAGCTGCATCTGGGGACCATGGCGATTGGTGGGATGGACAAAAGAGAGGACACTTGGGGATGCCACCAAGAGGGGTGCAGGGCTCCTGATGCTTTTCCTGTGTGGTTTGGCTCCTCTGTGATGGTGACTGCCACATCCCAGGCCCTCCTGGGAGCACATGGAAATAGCAGTTGGAGAAGCCTGGCACCATCACGTCATACATTGACTCTAATTCAGGCCTTCTTAAAGTCACCCCAAAATGCCACTAGGGGAGGACTGCAGCTTGATTCCTTTGTGCAGCACAAACAGTGCCAGGCACGTGTCGCTATATACCTCCCACTGCTAACCACATCGCTCCTACCACCCATCCATGCATCTCACACACACCGCCTTCACACATGGCTTCCACACTCCAGCCACACGCAACTCGTACGTGCCTTATACCGCCCACACACCTGCCATCCACACACACCACCCCTGCCACCTTCACACAAGCTACATTCATTTCCATGCCATGTGCAATATGCCACCCATGCTCCCACGCACACGCATCCCATGCGAGGGAGCTCAGCCTCCTGCCCCAGATGAAAACCTGTCCAGCACAGGTCCACCTGCCCAAGCAGCCCTCTCCTGCTCCCAAGCCTCAGGCACCAGCGCTCACCTTTGCAAGTGCAGCCCTCCCGGGTGATGGCCTGGCGGCAGATGCCACAGGGTTTCACCTTCTTGAAGGTTTTCACCTTGAAGTGGTGGGTCTTGGGGGCCTCTAGGTCCTCTGGCTGTGGGAGGAAGAGAACAGGGATCAGGTAGGCATGGTGAAGGTTGGGGTCTCCAGAAGGCATCAGGGGCCCTGCGAAGCAGCAGGCAGGACAAGGAGGAGAGGCACAGCCCGCTTGTGGGCTACAGAAAGAAGGTGTCCAGAGACTGACAACAGTGTGGGGGTGACAGGACGCTTGCCCCAGGGTGGACAGAGATGAAGATTCAGAGAATGTCTAGAGGCTCCAGCACCCAGAGTTAGCAGGCCTCCCCCCGGCTTCCCATTCATCATCTTTATTACTTCTTTACTAGGCCATGACTTACACACAGGAAAGTGCACTAAGTTTAAACATAAAAGTGTATTACTAATTGAACTAGGGATGCTGCTCAGTGGGAGGGCGCTTGCCAACCATTTGTGAGGATTGGGGTCCATCGCCAGGATTGCCCCTTTAAAATTATGCACCCCGCATGGCCGCACCCAAAAAGCTCCCTCATCTCCCTTCCCAGGCAGTCCTCCTCCAGCGTAAGCGCTCCTGGGACTTCTCTCCCCAAAGTCTTTACCCCAGGACTGTAAGCCTCGCAGCCATGGACTCTACAGTATGCCCTCCCGTGTTGGACTTCCCTTGTGCAACAGTGATCTGTGAGATGGTCTATGCTGTCACCAAAAGCAGCTGCACCCTTTGTCTCAGTGCCATGTCACATGCCATTGTCTGAATGATTGATGGCCCTCAGCTTCTCCCACCCAAGTCCCCAGCAAGCCACTTCTTTCCAGGCCTTCTCACCCACTCCATCCCCAGCCTGAGAGGCCTCTTCCACCTTTATTTTTATTTTTCTGTCCTTTTTGTGATGAAAATACGCAAGCACAGCTCTTTTCTGCGATCTTAAGAACCCAACCTGGGGCTTCGTGTGTGCTAAGCTCGCTCACTCTCTACCAGCGAGCTAGACCCCAATTCTGGGAAAATGTGACAGGCTAAGTTCCTGCTTTAAACTGTACAACCCCACACTCAAGAAGAGGACAGGCCCGTTGTCCAAGCCGTCCTCTACATCCCACTTGCCAGGACCTCTGACCACCTCTGCTACCAGACTCAGTCTCCCCTCCAGAGAGTACCGCATCCCAGACAGCCTGACAGTCTGTCTTTTATAACCATTCATGAGATCATACTCTGGGCCACAAAGCCTTGCACATCACTGCCCAGCCTTGATGCAGACTGAGGGTGCTCCCTGGCTAGGAGGTGCCCCAGGGGCAGCATCCTATGCCCCTCCGATATCCCCCTCATGTCTAACCTGGTTCTTTCATGTGCAGAGGCTGGAGGGATGTGGCAGTTCGCCATCTATCCCAGGCACAGATGTTTTTAACAGCCCTCTGCACTGGCATGGGTACTTCTGCCCGGGTACACAGAGATAAGATCATAGATGTTGCCCCATGGGCAGGAGGGCTCTGCTCTTCTGACCTCCCTTCTGTGCTGCTAGGTCTAGCATCTCCCAGCTCTGAGGCAGGCATGGGAGGGGACAACTGTGCTTAAAGGAAGAATGGCCAAGACGCTCAGCAAGCTCAGAAGGGCTCCAATTTGGAGACACTGCAGAAGGGAGCCCTGGAGGGAAGAGACAGAGAGGGACTGGGATGAGAGGGACAGAGAAAGGGAAATGCTACCCCGAGAGGCAGGCCAAGGGGGAGAGAGAAAGAGATAAAAGCAGAGGCAAAGAAAGGGACCAACAAGTACATGCAGTGGGAGAGATTAGATAGAAACACACAGAAACTAAGAGGGGAACCAGAGGATCAAAGAGGGAGAGGCAGACAAAAAGACACCAGAGCTCCTGATGACCAAATCTGGGACCATCTAAGCCTCACAATACACAATAATAGTAATGGCCTAAAAGCAACCATTGTGCTATAGAGAAATAGATGAACAAATGGAAGTTTGATGAGAAATGGAGCATTGCTGGAGTCTCAAAGCACTTTCCCTCATCACACTTATAAATTGCAAAGTGGGTGGGGGCAGCTTTTCCTGGCAGTCTCCACTTCAATCAAGTGATCAAAGCAATCGCCAGTAATGGGACAAGTGCAAGTCGTGCGCCTGGGAGGGAGGACTGAGAACAGAACATCACTTCTGCAGCATTCCTGCCAAAAATATAATCAAGAGAAAACATCAGGCCAAACTGAGGGACAGCCTCCAAATTAAATGCCCTGGAATCTTCCAAAGTGACAAGGTCACAAAAATCAAGGAAAGACAGAGGAGAGCTCTAGACTGAAGGAGACTCTGACATGACAAGTCTGTCATGCAACTGCTGATTGTGAACGGATTCTTCCATGCCCACAGAGGATACCTCGGGGACAGCTAGCAAAACTTCCATGGAGTCCAAGGATGACACTGTAGTGCGGCACTGATGTCAGTGTACTAATTTTGAGGCTGTGCCGGATTGGGCAAAGGTACTTGTCAGAAAATCAGGAGCATATTTAGGGATGGTGGAGCATTGTGCCAGCAACTCACATAGTTCAGGGATTTAAAAAAATAATAATAAATAGGTCTCTCCACACTGCACTACAAGCTCTCTGACCTTTGAGACTGTTCTGAAATTCAGAGAGGAACAGGAAATGCAGAATCAAGGGCAGAGGTGGAGAGAACAGAGGGTGCCAGGACCCCAGCAGTGCCCCCTGGTGGCCAGGGTGGGCAGCAGGGATTGCAGGGCAAAAGCAACTAGGAGCTTTTGCAGGGGTGGGGAGTGGGGGGGCAAGGGGAATTGCCCAGTCCTTGACTTCTCTCAGTGTCCCCACTCCACAAAGAAGGACGGAGAAGTCCCCTCCACTCTGCCCACCCCTCCTTTCACGATTCATCTGCTGGCCAGCAGCCTTCCCAGCAATCTCTGTCACAGACATTCCAGGGAGGAGCCCCAGGCCCAGTGTCAACTGCAGCAGTCCTAATCTGGGCAGGAAAGGAGCACGAAGGGAACTGGAGTTCAGATTAAAGATTATCAGGGAGAGACATTCAGAAAACCCCAAAACATCCCCAAGCCTGCTCTTCTACCCCTCTGAGCCCAGTAAAACTTCCCCTACTAGTTTGTTCTCTAAACTCCTGTTCCCACGTCCCAAATTCAACTTTTCCCCCAAAACCCAGAGAAGAGGCTTCACCCCAGAACACAGTAAGGACAGAGGAGTCTCCCAAAAAGGCAATAAGTGACAAGTCCATTGGGCAGATTAAAGGGCTCAGGGCCTTCCCCACTGTTCCACAAATGCCCCTATTTGCCCATCGAGCCCCACAAAATCTGAGTTTCTGGAATAGCTCTGCCTTCTAGGCAGGGGTTCACATTCTGTCTGACCTGGCTCATGCCTCACTAACCAGCACCTACCTCTCCCTGGCTATCACCCCTACCCTGCCCTGGCCCAGGCTGAGGAAGCCCTGGAACCAGAGCCTGGAGATCTGATTCCAAAACTGTCATTGGAATCAGAGAGCATCAGTGACCTTCTCTGGGCCTTGAAGTCCCCAAATGCAAATGAGAGTCGTGAACCAGTCTGAGCTAGATGGAGTATGGGACACAACAGGACAGTCAGTACCTTTGGCATAGAGGAGTTGGGATGATGAGGTGGAATAGGCTGATGGTTACAGACAGCAGGAGGTCTGAGGAGATGTGGCCCCTCTGAGGAGATGTTAGGAAACCCCAATGGGAGGAAGAAGCCCAGCTCTGCCATTCCCATGAGTGGCCCAGACTTTCCCTGTGTTAAAATAGTCACCACCAGGGTTTAGATGTCTCCAGTATGGAAGAGGAGAGTCTAAAGCAGCCTGACCTCCTTGCTTTAGATACTTCAAGGAGCTGTCCCTGGAGAAGAGACCACACAGGACAAATGAGGGAGAAAGGCCAAACAAGCAGAGCTGGACCAGAGGCAAATTGGCACCACCCCAGTGGTAAAGTCTGGGCTGACAAAAAGAACCAGGTTTTTGGGTGCCATCCTATTCTCCTCCCTGGGGTGCTTGGCAGGTACTATGGCATGTAAAGGAACCCCATAAAGTAAACGAGCCTATAAATGCAAAAAGCCATGCAAGGACAATGACTTGTTAGGACAGTAAACTTTTTCCTGACAAGTGGCAGACAGCCCTGCAAAGCTCAGCCCTGAGCCCTGCCCTTGCTGGGCTAGCTGGAGAGATTCAGGAGCAGAGGGGGCCTGGCCACAGCAAAAGCTCCTGTTTCTCCAGCCCATAACTCCTCAGGAGCCAGAACCTAGAGAAGCGGAGGGGTCCAGCTGGGGCCATTCTTCCCTGCCCCTCCACAAGTCCTCCCTGCAACCACAGGTTTTCCAGGCCAGCCCTAAGGGGCACCCTGGCCTTCCCCCACCCCCCCCCCTTCAGCTCAGCCTGCCTGCCAGCTTGCCCAGCCAGAGGGGTGCGGTCCATCTGGCTCGGATGGGCGGCCGTGGCAGGAGTCCTTGGCTTTGGGTGGGAAAAGCTGCTTACTGGTTCCTCCCTGCCCCCTGGGGCAGAGCAGCAGTGGGGGTGTTGAAAGGGGTGACAGCCCCACAGAGTCTCCAGCTCAGGAGTTACCCCTAAAGCACATCCCAGCTCTGCACCCTACAAGGCTCCCTGTAGCCAAGCAACCTAGGATAACATGAGGACAAAGCAGAAGTCTGCCAACCAGTGAGCCTGGAAGCCTGCAAAAGGGTGACCGAAGAAGACAGGACAGGCCTGGAATTCAGCTCCCAGCCACCCTCGAGCAATCCGCACTGATTAGTCTGTGAGGCCTGGTGGGGGCTCCAGATGCGGGGAGTCCCACAGGCAACTTGAACTAAGCTTCCCCTCCAACTCACCTTCACATAGATGAAGAAGTTCCCTCCCTCCCCAGGCCCCCAGCCAGCCAGTGGCCTGCCCAAGTTCTTGGTCACCCTGGTGGAAAACTCTGAGTCACACTCAATGCCTCCCTGCTCTCCCCCACCCTCCAGCCATGCAGTTGCCAGAGCCCATGAAGCCTGCCTGGCTGCCTCCTGCTCATGTCTTACTTGGGCTTCCAATACCCCTGCTCTTGCCCTGTGTGGCCC